GAGACCCAAGAGCAGTGACCATCGCGTCACCTTGTTTACCTTGGTTAACTTTACGCATCAAAACTATATACTGACTACATATGAATTGAATGAACAAGTGAGATCAAACTATCATCATGCCGAATAATAATGGAAAGCCAGGGGTAAGTCAAACCACTAAGTCTTTCTTCATTGAACTCACATACTAAACCCTGAACAGTCGCGTCCAGCGCTGAGTGACGCGAGTAATCGTGCCAACCAATCGCCAGTTCGACCTCCACCTGGAACGATTAAGGCTCCTCCTAATGGAAGTAACAAAATACCTTCGTTCGCGGAGTTTCTGGCCATCTCGGGTCATGAGCAAGGTAATTTCGAAACGAGCATTCCGAACCAACAGCGGAGGGGATATGGGCATGCCAGTATACTAGGCGAGGACGTGCCAAAGGGTAAGAAAATGATAGTAGGAATAGGAGGAGGGATCACGAGCGATCTTACTCAGAAGAAGACTCCTGTTCCTCCCCCCTCTATTGCTGATCTCACAGCTGCTGCCCGTTCGGTGCCAAGGCCGTCTTCACTCATCATACCGGCAGGACCAACATCAGCAGCACAACCTCCACAGCCACCTACAACAAAAGCAACAACAACAGCACCGCGATCAGCAGCTCCGCCAAAAGGCAAGAAACGCAAAGCCGAGCGCTCACTTGAGGAGGACATAGCAGAATACAAGCAAGACCTAGACGAACTAATCGACCCGGACTCCTTCGCGTACGAAGGCATGCCAACTTGCACCGTCGTGCGCAAGCAGATCAACAAACTGCTAGACAGCGGCGTCATCATGAAGAAAGGCGAGTTTGCCAAGACGATCGGCGTCACGAGCGCGTCCCTCGATAACTTCCTCAGGTCCTCGGGTACCATGGGCGGAGCAGGCAGTAATACGTACGGCAACGCGTGGGTCTGGTTCAGACAGCGGGAGGCCGCGGGGATCAAGATGCCGGATGTCAAGAGGAGGCAGAGAGAGGCTGAAGCTGCTGCTGACATCACGTCGTCCTCGTCGTCGGGGCCTAAAGTTGGCAGAACAGCCACGGCGGGCAAAACCGGCCCTTCGCTCCCGGATATCAGCGGCGTCTACCTACCCGACGAAGAAGACGATGATGTCCCCGTCTGGGATACCTGCGACGAGGTACGGCGCAAGATCAACGCGCACCTGCGACTGCCGGGCTTGACGCAGGCGCAGTTCTGTCGGGATATCTACGCGCAGCTGCAGAAACCTAAGTGCAAGAGCATCCAGTCGAAACAGCTGGCGGACTTCAGGGCGATGCGCGGAGCACGCACGGGTGCCAAGTCGTCGGTTTTCTATGCCGCTTATGTCTACTTTGAGAAGTTGCGCATCGCGGGGAATAAACCTAAGACGCAGCATCGTCAGGATATGGAAGAGATCTGGCCTGCTGGGATGGAGAGGGATTATGATCATCGCACTTCGTAAGTCTCTGTACTTATGTACCTCTTCGCCTCTCTTTTCTTCTCCTTGTCGTTGTTGGAGAGGGTAATGGGCAGGTTGTGTATTTATGCAGCATCGCTGACTTGGAGCAGATACATTGTTTTGGCAGGAGAGAGGCCACCCTACTGCGATCAGTACGGCATGGTGCGGATGGTATGATGCGTGGTGAAAGAGATCGCCTGTCTCTGTCCAGGCTCCTGCCCTCCGCCATGGCGTTAAAGTGTTTTCTTTACCTTGAGTCTGATCCCTGACGTATACCGCAACAGGAGTTCGCGAAGTGTTGTGTAGATATATAGCAAGAGGTATAGTGTAGAGGGAGACGTAAGGATTGGGCGGTGTCTTTCTAGATCGATAGAGTTTGGTAGATTTCCCCCTAAGTATAGCCCTCGGGGGCTGTGTAAGGTTCGTTTTGGCCATGTTTGCTTTACGCCGTTTACATTATTCTACAAGGACCTGCAAGGAAATGTTTCAATTAGTATAAGAATGGGACTGTTCAAGGTATCGTGTTGAATTAGTATATTTCCTATCTCCCTCTACTTTGCATCAAGCTATCAAAACTGGAGTTTATGTGTGGGTTAAGCCGCGTACCTATTGTTAAGTTAGTAAGTTTCTGGAAGACAAGGGATTTCGTTCTCAAGGAGTGTATATGATGTAGACCTATTCAAACTGTTAGCGAACTTTTTAGGGAGTAGACTGCGGCGTTTCGTTAAAAGTCGAATCATTCATCTAGATCCACTTGCATAGCGAGAGATATGCCTGCGCGACTCTCCAGGCCTGCTGGTAAGTGTGAGATTGGTGGCCTGTCAGTAGAGTCTGCTCACCTCTGCCCCGTGGCTCGCGGCAGCTGTATAGCTTTCCGTCGTGGCCGAGGAAGATATGGTGTAGGTCATGGGTGTTACCGGCAATGCGGGCAACTAGACCTTCCCCAAATTCTTCGTCACGATCAGTCCAACGGGTACTTGCTCTGAATGGAGATTCGAGCCATACTCCCTCGCGTGATGCGAGTTCTCGTAGCTCAACATCCGTTGCAGCCCGTCGGAGTCCGCGCCTTCGAAGCTCCTCATGTGAGGTTGCTGCGGCGGCAGCCCTTTCTTGGCGTCTTTCTTTTTCAAGTTCTTTCCCAGCCTCTTCCTGGGCTTTCTTGAAAGCTTTCTCCTCCTCGTCGGGAATTTCGAAATCAAGCCCCATGATCTTACCTGCTCTCTTAGTTGCCTTGCGGAGCAGAGACTTGGCTTTGCTCCTCTTGCTCTTTGCGGAAGTTGTTGAGGTTTGTACAGAGCTGGATCCGCTCGTGCCTGTGTACAAGGAAGTACATGGGGTCCGTGTGAAGGAGTGGATGTTGTGAAGGCCAACGATGGGAGGGTAGACTTCACTGCCATTTTGAGAAGGACCAGCCGGGATCGAAGGGCGGTCGGAAAGACTATCATGATGCTGGCGGACTTTTCCATTGCTATGGCCGTGTTGATGATGAGTGCCATGAGTCGTATAGCTATGCCCAAGGGGATGCTGGCGGTGACTTCGCTCATGTACTTGATGACCGTCATGATCATAATAGTTATTCTGGGTGAAGTTCTCCTGGAGGTTGATCTTTCCATATTGACGATTATTCATACCCCTGCTCCTCGTCCTGTGTGGGATTGCGGGCTGGTGATGACCATGTCGATGATGGCTATGTCCAGCTTGGCTTGATCTATCAGCTGAAGAAAGTCCAGAGCTGGGTGAGGGCGACATTGGCAGGGGGCTGCCGACCAAGGGTCTACCTAGAACCGGCGAGACAGCCTGCTCAGTGCGGTCCTCAGCATGGTGCTGGTTCCTATCTCGTTGCTGATGCATACTTCGTCCGCTGCTCATTGTCGATCTTAGTGTTGGTAAGTTGAGCTCAATGGTGTTACTTTCGTGATTAGCCTTTGTCTGGGTTCTCTTGTTGTCGTGAGATTTGTTGTAGCTTCTTCTTTGAACGTCCTTTGACTTTCAAGGGATGTGTATGGGCATGAAAGAAGTTTGTTCTATGGTTGAAAGGGCTGTATTTATACTTTTTCCAAAGTCCAAACAATATTCGAAACAGTTCTATTGTTCAATAATAAAGCAAGTGTCACAGCCCAACGTGCTAATTGATCGAGAAATGTGTCCTAACTTGTACGCTATTTTGAAACACTACGATGTTGTTATGTTTGGTAGGGCCAGCAGAGAAAACAGGAGCGCCCAGAGCGCCTATGAGGCCGGACTCGAATCTACATTGCTTTCTTTGACACTATCCGGCGCCTATGTATGCAAGGCAGAAGGAGGAAGGAGCGCCTAGTGACGGAGTTCTTCGGCTTTGGGGTCCACTTCCGGCGCCGGCCCCGAGTACGGCAGCCGGTTCAATAAGTAATGTAAAACTAGGGCTATTTTACCAGGCACATGAGGAGATATCTTCTATCTAGAAAATAGAGATATGCAAAAATTCTTTAGCGCTAACCAACTGCGCTAACCGCGCCATTTCATATTGTTTCAATCAAGTCTTGGCTAGATGTGATGACGTAAGCCATAGCACCATAGTAGTCAGGTGACACTTCAGGAGATTCCTCGCGAGGCTTTCGGAGAGTTCGTTTTATCAATTCAACACACTTTTCGGGGATGATTCAAGGTTGCCACAGTAGACCTGAGAGCATAGTAAAGGGAGTGCGCTAGTGCTACGCCGTTGGAAGGTGTCAGCTGTATAGTTTCAACTACCTAGCACTTAGGGGCTGTTCTCATAGATAAGTCGCCGCCTACTTATGGCACGTGCATAAGGGCTATACTTGAGGTTTTTCCGATAAATATACCACTCCACTTCGTACCTTAAGTACTTCTTTTACTATTTATTCAAATCCTTTAAAAAATTTATTCGACGCTTTATTTATAATTACGATAATAATAATATATTTAATAAAAATAGGCTTTAATAAGATTTATAGCGCTTTAATAAACTTTAACAAGAGGTAAAAAAGAAAGTAATTTTTAAAAATTATTGCCCTCGGAAAATCTAATTACTAAAGCTTTAATAAAGCTTTATTAAACTTATATTAAAATTTATATTAAATAGCTAATAAAGGTTAAAAATTAATAAATTTTTAAAAACTTATCTATAAAAACAGCCTTTTAGTTAACGGTTAAACTAGTCTAACATTAAAGTTAACCTTAACATTTGCAAAAGAGGCTGTATTAAAGAGTAAAGATATTGTAGAAGTGTAGATCTGAGTATAGTGTGCCCGTCCTGCCAAGCACTTTTATCTCTACACGAGTGCCTTTCACTCATTGTGTCTTGCCTTCCACATCTTTTGCCTGGAGGATAGCCATAACACCAGCAATGTCTTAGCTAGTCCCGAATACAGTGCCACAACATCTTTTTCCCATCTGTGGCTTATATGGCTGGTGCATAGACCCGCTTTTCTCGGCTTAGCTAACAAGTTTGCTCTTGGCGGACCCCTAGCTCCAGGGCGTTTTGCGGCCCCTTTCTCAGTCCACAATATAGATTCAGCTGGTGCCCTCCCTCTTCAACAATGTCTGGTTAGCTCAGTCGGTACGAGCGCAGGTCTCATATCTCTATATGAATCAGTCACAGGCTGAGTGATCCTGAGGTCGTGAGTTCGAGCCTCACATCGGACATTACTTTTTCTCTTTTTGATAATTTCCTGTATTGCTTGAAAGTTGCTATTATTTTAAAATATAACAAGTCATCTTTTTCTACACCTTATCCCTACTAACCTCTTTTCATCAGTGACTTTGGCAAGTCGCCCAGATTAGGTCATTTAAATTCTAGTTATTAAGACAAGCATAACACACCATTCAAGAAGAATGTAATTAAGCACTGCTAATTGTAGTTAACTTGTTAGTATGACATGCCCATATAAGCAAAACATTTTATTTCATCCATTGATTAATGATTTGGGTATCTGTTATTCCCACCCTAAATGAACATGGTGTTGCGACAATTTGTGAAGATCAAACACACCACATCTAGTTGCTTTGGTTGATAAGCGATAAGAGATTGTACTATCCAAGGAGATGCAGTGCTTTAAGTATGTCAGCAACTTATCCGGTATTCATACCTACCTATGGAAGACAAAGGGATTCCTAACGGCTCAGGCGACAAATCTTGATAATTAAGAATACTCACCACTTGCCTAACAAAGGAGTATCTAAATGTATCATTGGGCCGGTGAAGTTTTCCGAGTTTGGAACAGACATGGGCTATCAACCGCCGATGGCGGAATGGCTGCAGGGAAGTCTTGCAGCAACAGAATGATGAACAAACACCGAAGGTTTGGGACGTCGTATCAAGCATCTCAACTTCTCTGACACTCTTCTCGATTTCTATGCTCTCCAGAATCCATATCTATTCATCACGTGCCAAGCCACATCTCAGATTCTGAAGCACAGCACCATGGCGCCAAGCGTTACCATAGATGATGGACCTGCCAGTGAATCTGTGTTAAACCTCAGCAAGGCTACTCCTAATGTGTACGAAGGCGCCGATGAAAAGGCTTTCCAAGAGAAAACATCCAAATACCTTCTACATTATGGTACTTCATTCAACAAAGATGTCATTTGCGGAGCTAAAGGACTTTATGTGTACACTGCGACAGGTCATAAAGTTCTAGATTGGACTTCTGGCCAAATGTCATGCCTCCTTGGACATGGACATCCTGAGATAGTGAAGACTATCGCTGACCATGCCGCGAATCTAGACCATCTATTCTCGGGCATGGTGTCTCCGCCGGTGATTTCCTTAGCAGAGCGACTCTGCAATCTTCTGCCAGCAGGACTGGACAAAGCATTCTTCCTCTCGACAGGCGGCGAGAGTAATGAGGCAGCCATCAAGATTGCGAAAGTGTTCACAGGAAAAATTGAGATTGTCGGGATAGGTGCTAGCTGGCATGGTATGACGGCGCAAGCTCTCGGAACCCAATACCATTTCGGTAGAAAGGGACAAGGGCCCCAGATGCCTGGTATGCACATGCTTCCACAGCCCAATGCATATCGCTCCATATTTCGACGCTCGGATGGGTCATATGACTGGGAGACTGAGCTGGAATATGAATGGCGCATGATTGATATGGCATCTTGTGGTTCTTTGGCGGCCTGCATTATCGAGCCCATACAGTCCTCTGCCGGGATGCATGTCCTACCGACTGGCTATCTAAAAGCATTGAAGAAGCATTGTGAGAAACGAGGCATGCTCTTGATCGTGGACGAGGCGTAGACGGGCGTTGGTCGATGTGGGGACATCATGGCCATCGTCCATGAAGATGTTACGCCGGACATCCTGACCCTCAGTAAAACTTTGGGTAACGGCCTGCCTCTTAGCGCTGTCATCACCAGCGCGGAGATTGATAGAGTGTGTATGGAACGAGACTACTCATTTTACACGACACACGTGAATGACCCTCTTCCTGCTGCTGTGGGCGACAAGGTCTTGGAGATAGTAGTCCGTGATCACCTCGTGACTAACTCTCGAGAGCTTGGAAAGATCCTGCATGATGGCCTTAAGAAGCTACAATCCAGGTACGGGTGTATCGGAGACGTGCGAGGCCGAGGTCTAATGGCAGGTGTGGAGATTGTGGCAGACAGATCGACGAAAGTGCCAGACCTTGATCTAGCAAAACAGATTGGCGATAACATCTACGCAAACGGTGTGTGGGCGAACCTCAGCTCTCACCTCAGCTTCGGTGGCACATTCCGGATAGCACCACCCATCACAATTTCGCAGGAGCAGCTTGCATTTGGACTTTCAGCATTAGAAAAGGCGTTTGCCGACACGCCAGGCTCTCAACCGCTCTACTAGGAAACCGTCGAAGACAGCGCCGCTTCTACCAGGAAGATATATGATGCATTGATAATGAAAGTAGAAGTGGTGGTTACTTCACTAAAGGTCAGATATCTTCGGGATGGCAGTTTCAGAAAAAACTCACTGTACTATTGAGAGATTGAAATCTCTCTCTCTCTCTCTCTCTCTGAATACCTAGAATTCAGCCTCTTCTTGATGATGATTCCAAGTATTCACCGTCAATGGCACCAAAATGAATTGCGTCTCAAAGAACTAGACAGCAGGAGCCTTTGCCTCGCAATGGGTAATAGCCACCCACCCGAAGCATTGGCTTGAAGGCCCAGAGTTCTAAAAATAAATCGTGCAAAACATGAAAACCACCTTGCTTCAATGCTTTAAGCCTTGCCTCAATGGCAGCCTCTTCAATGTTTGTTCTACTACTGTTTTTCAGCTTCCATTTGGTGAAACAATGGAGGATAGTGTAAGGTCAAATAGATCAGATGACGAACAGCAGGCCAAATCCCAAAGCAACCAGGAAAGAGTACAGAGGGGTAGCTAGATCCCAATCACATGGACGCTTTCATCCTGAGGGGAAGAGCAAAAGCTATAAAACTCCTTACCTTAGGTATAAACAGACATGTACAGTATTCTGAAGAAAAAAAGGGTTCATTGGAATCTAATGACTAGCTATTATCTGGAGGTGAGTGTAGTTTTTCATTAGATATATCGGGATGATTAAAGAATGATGGTTTTCAATGTGGAATGGCAGGAACACAGAGGATCTTGGTGTCAATCACGGCTAATTGAACAGCACATGGGAGGCGTTGTCGGAAGGTGCAGCGGACTGTTAGCCCCACACATGCAGCGGGAACATGTGTGTGTGCGAATTAAACCGTCAAATCACAGGCAGCTGCGTAGCTAACCCACGCCCAACAGCCGCCGACCACACCGCACCACACCTTCCTTGGGTTGTGTGCATGAGCCGGTGTCTTCTCTCTGATTCTCCCAATTCAATCACCAAACCCCACCACCACCACCACCATCTATCTCATTCTGTCCTCCCCAGACCAACACTAAGGCAATTGCTTTTCAGAAATTTCGAGTTCCGCTTTTTTTGCTTCAACCTCGCGTCACACCCTCGACCCGACCCGCGTAGCCAACTCCTGCCAGTGAACTCTAACGAGCTGTAAGGCCCGCTTGGGCGTCAACCCCCCGTCAAACCCGTCGCCAACATGGGTTCCAACGACCGCGACGGAGACGGTGCATCGTCGACCTTCACGAGCGGCGACCGCACGCGAGAACGCCGAAGCAAGAGCACCAAGAGCGACAAGGCCGACAAAGGCGAACGACTCCGATCTGAGAAGGACAAGGAAGGCCGCACCCATAAATCCCATCACCATTCCTCTCGCTCCTCGAAACTAAAGGACGACGAGGCCTCCCGCGTTTCCTCATCTTCCTCAACCCACCGCCGCAGGCGACACCGAACTGACGAGGAGAAAGAACGAGACCGCGAGAGGAAGGCCTCCTCCATGAGTGATCTAGTTCCTGAACTCACCAGAACCTCCGCTGCCAGCAGCAGAGTCAGCATACCATACCCCACCTTCAGCAAGACACATAGCAAAGATGCCATCTACAGTCGCGATGATTTGAGCGGTGGCACCGTTCCCGGTGATGTTCCCCCAACCCCTGAGGCCACTGATCTTGGTGCCGACGACCGAAGACGATCTAAATCAGCCGATGGCTCCAAAAACCCCAAGACATCACGTACAGGCGAGCGACCACCTAGCCCTCCCGAGACCGATCTCTGTAGTGGAAAGAAGCAACGGAGCAAGACTTCTAGTCCTAGATTGCGCGAGGATGGCTCCGAACGACCCCGATCTAGAACCTCGGGTCTTTCTCGATCGAGCTCACGCAATGAGGACAAATCTAAGCTGTCTACCCGATCCAAGGCTTCAAGTCAGGCTACATTTATCATATCTCCGCCGACTAGACCTCCGCCGCCACCACCGAGTGTGCATACCTTAGATGAGGGAGCCTCTAACCTAAGCGACGATAAGACAGCTGGCGCACGCTCTGCTGCAACATCGGTCACTCCAAAAAGAACATCAACTAAATCGTCCAAACTTCCCAGCCTCGATGCTGACGACTCTCCTGACTCTGTGCAAGACTCATCACCCAAAACACCAACCGCGACACAGCAATTCCCACCGCCTCAAGTCTTCCCCAGCGACTCTCATGCAATTCCCTACAACGATCTCAACTATAACGACAAGGACCGTCCCACACCTATAGCGACTCCAGCTACTGATTTCGGACCACCTCCCCCACCACCTCCCCCTCCGCCTCTCAGTATCCAGGAAGTGCCCAGAGTTGATTATCTCCTTCAAAACGGTGGACTGCACCACCGAATCCCAAAGAACTTCCTTGCTGTCCTCCCACGTCAAAATGGAACTCGGCCATCAAACCCACCACTAGCAGGCTGTGAGACTTTATTTGCTCCCTTTTTCAACCTTCTCAACGAGTATCAATCCGTCTTGCAGAAACAAGGTTCGGTCGCCGTCGCTACAGGTCATAAGTCAGTCGCGCGAAGGCTACTTGATCGACTCGAGGATGTTTTCTCTCGCGACCTCCCAGCTGCAGGATGTTCATGTATCATGTGCGAAGAGACGCAGGAGGAGCATCGAGGATTGGGCTGGGGAGAAGTACTCGAACGTGTTGGTGGTCGAGTGGAACTGCCTGCTTGGCCTCCATTTGATCTCTCAGCAGTTATCACAACCGCCATCGAGACGACAGCGGAGCTCCCTCCAAGACCTTCGTCCCCAATCAAGCTTGACCCCGA